GGGGGGGGGGGGGTTGGTGCGCGTGCCAATGTGTTGATGTGATGTGTGAGCAGGCGTATGTGTCCGGGCCGCGTGTGCTGGCGCAGCTCAAGATGGTCGGCCACCACATTCACTTCGGCGACGGCGAGACCTTCCAGGTGTTCCAGCACGGCAACACGGTGCGGGCTATCAAGGACGATAATGGCTTCGAGGTGACGGTCGACCCGGATCTCCCTGCCGGCCACCTGTGCCTCCAACACCGACGGCAGCATGACCCGCCAGTCAGCAGCAGAATCGGGTATTCTACGCTGGGCTGGAGGCTGGTCTATCCTGCTGCCACTCATTCGTCTGTGTCGTCATTCATCAAGAGCACCATCCTTGAGCACTTCCAGTCGACTCACGCGAACGACAAGCTCCTCCGATCAATCGACAGGTCAGGCAGACACCGTCATAAGCGATCGTCTGGAACGCTCGCCCGTATGTCATGTGTGTGTCGTGTCGTTCATCAGGCGTGCTGACAGCGATCGGCTCCGCACCCTCATCACACAATCGCCCCACACTCCTTTGGAGGGGTGCACAACCACCACCACATGGCAGTGCTACGGCCTCGAATTCCCCGCCTTTCCTGCCCGCCATCGTTATCTCGTGCTGACCGGCGCCAGTGACCCCTTCGTCGCGTGGATTCACATGTGGGAGTGGGGCACCTACGGTTGGGCCAACTACGCAGGCAAGAAGAGAAGCACCACCCGATATGTATCAGTGCAGCGCTCATTTACCTGGCTGTTTTTCTGCATCTGCAGTGCGTGTGGAGGTCTTCACAACCGAGAAGCCGCTGTCTGGTGTGGGTGCCGCCTTCAAGGACCGCTTCCCGGAGACCACTCGACTGGCACGTGTGGTGCTGTGGCCGGGCTTCGCAGCCTTGGTCTTCGACCGGTAAGACAGCCGACAGTAGCTGCAGCAAATATCAAGGACGGGCGGGTTACGTTGCGTGTGCATACCATACGAGTTCATATGCAAAGTGCTGTTCTTGCCCGTTTCTCTCTGTGTGTTTGTGTGTGTGTGTGTGTGTGTTGTCGGTGTCAGGCCGTGAGTGGACGTTCCGTTCCGTTGATGTGAATGAGAGCGAGGCCCGGGCATATGTGATGTGCATGTAACCATGATGCATCAACACCACACACGGCAGCTTTGTGTGCGGAAAAGGGCTGCCTCTGGAGCATTGAGCCTCTCTCACTTTCTGTCTCGTCCATCTGTGCTTCGTTGACTAGCGGATTTTGTATCGTCATGTGGTTGTTTGCCTACGTACATAAGCAAGGCAAGTGCGTGCGATGCGATGTTCAACCAAGACTTTTTCAACGTAATTCACTGCTAAGACTTGGGTGTCGATGTGCAGCCGACTCGTCCATTCATCCGCCCCATTACTGCAGCGGGAGAGGATGTCCACACAGCTTGGCAATGAATTCGATCCAGATTCGCTCAATTTGCGAGCTTTGAATATTCCTGTTCCTGCAACACACAGAAGCGCACCCATCGTCCTTCCGCGCGAGAGGTGTATTGGCAGATGGTGCAACAGAAAGGTAAGCTGCCTGCAGAAGCAACGGAGAAGCACGTGGAGAATCTCATTGTGTGTGCCTCCTGCATGCAGCAAATGGAGTTGATTCCAAGCACAACTCTGTCTGGCCTGCAGGCAAGATCTTCGACAAGGTGCGAGTGCTCACAGAATCAGGAGGAAAGGCAGCGCGTGTCCGCCTCATTTCACGTTCCGTCGCTTGCAGGTGCCTCAGCGGACAAAGGAGCAGCTGTGCGTTGTCCTGAAGAACGTACCATACTCATGGTGACAAGCAGAAAGACGCTGCACACGCGCCAAGTGTTTTCAATGCTGCTGCTGCTCACTTCTCGATCAGGACCAAGGCTCAGCTGCAACAACACATCCAGCACCAGTGCTCGGCCTTCATCAGCGCCAACCCTGCAGCTGCCGCAGGGTGCAAGGCACCTGTCATCGCGCACATCGAAATGAAGCCCTTGGTGCCAGTCGCCACCGTGTGCTGCAACGACCGCGAGAACCGGCAGATCTTCGACCGCATGCGCACCATCACAACCGACGGCAACAAGCCCGACATGCTAGTGCAGGAGTTCCTCAGTGACGCGGAGCGCAAGGCCCTCAATCAGGCCGCCCTGCAGCCGACGTCTGCCACGCCCTCGTCGAGTGTGGCCTTTCCTCCGTCGCAGAGCGTGGCATCTGATGCGGTGAGCTGGCCGCCCGGGACGACGTTCAACCAGGTATACGGCACGCACGGTAAATGGCTGACAAGAAAGATGGTTGACGGTTGATTTGGGCGGTAATTGTACGTATGCTTTGTAGGTTCCTGCTCAAATCCGACAGCGACTGGCGGTCTTCCTTGACAGAGTTCCTAACTATTGGTACGCTGTGTTCCTGTATCCGTTGGCGTGTGCGTATTTGGTGATGTGTGCGGGTGTGTCAGGTCAAAGGACGATGTGCACACGCTGGTCGTGACGCACTGCGCAGACTTCATCAAGACAACTCCCGCGGTCGCACAAAGCTGCAAAGTGCCCGAGATTGCTGAGGTCTACAGACCATCTTTCGGACCCTACGCGACGCTTTGCTGCAAGGACGACGAAAGCCGCAGGATCTTCCACCACATCAAGTACATCAGGACGCCCGATGGGAGGCAGATTCGTGTCATGCCCTTTGTGCCCCGTGATGGGTGAGAAAGCCTGTGACAATCGTTCAGTGATGACAGCTTTGACCTTTTGTTGTATGCAGGGATGATCGCAAGTGGGCTCCCACTGCCTCCACTGCATCGCTGCCGCTGTTGTCGACCCTCAAGACGGCTTCCGAGGCCGCCAACTTCTTCTCAGCCGTCATCCATCCCCTGATGAGACTAGCAGAGGCTGACAAGGACAAGGTCCCCGTGGTGGCCTTGCACGAGCACGCCGGTCGTCTCGCCATCGGTGCGTGGACAGAGATCGACACCTTCAAGCCCGACGAGCCCAGCACGCCATCACAGGTGTCTCGAGACCCATCGGCTTCCCTTGACGACTTGCCAGGGCAGGCCGCCACAGCAGGGCAGCAGACGGGGGTCTTCAGCGTTGAGTGGTGGTCGCGCGTGCTTGGGCAGCCTTCCAATGCGATGTGGCAGAAGAAGGGGGGTCAGGACGCATCGACCAATGGGGCACAGCCGGCTGCCGAGTCGTCGGATGTCGACGATAGCGGCGAGACTCCTGATGATGTGGCCGACACACAAGAGGAGGACATACTTCGAGCCCTCTGTCAGATCATCGATCGTAAGAGAGAAACACAGAATCCACGGACCATTTGACGTCTGACCGGCTGTCTGTGATGCTGTCAGAGCGTGGCGGCCGTTCTGCGTTCACCGATGGTCTGCAAATGCTGGCGCAGCTCCCGGTCTTCCGCGAGCGATTCGTCATGCCGGCCGTCCGATTCGGGTGGATCGCCAGCGCCGGCAGCAAGCCTGAGCTGCGCAAACTCTACGAACGGCTGCGGAAGCTCATCCGGCGCAGGGCAGACGTCTTCGAGGTGCAGGCCATCGGCAACGCGCCAGCTGCCAACTTCAAAATCAAGCTCGCCCAAGGTGCTGACCGGTACCTCTCGTCCGTCCGTGTGCGCGGGGGCTCCACTGTGGCGACGGCCAGTGGTGGAGTGGGCAGTCCGCCTGTTGCCACGGTGGCGGTGCTGGAGCTCGAGGGCATGGGGTGCGAGCAGGCTCAGGAGCTGCTAAAGGGCCTCCTGACCTCCCCGTACGTCCTCAAGGTGGCCTACAACCTGCCCGCCATCATCAAGGCGCTCGAGCTGCCAGCTGCCGAGGCCCCCTCATCCATCCGCTTCTGCTGGGACCTGCAGCTAGCGTATGACATCGTTCACCTGACCCCTCTCGCGTCACTCAATGACATCCTCACATGGCGACGCGACACACGACCGCCCGCCATCTCGACAGAGCCCTCCAGCAAGGAGAGCGAGGCCGTGGTCTCGGGCTTCCTTCGCGCAGTGGACGAGCTGGCCGCCATGACTTCGCCAGAGGAGATGCGACTTATCGGCCAGGCGTCCGACCGACGACTCGCCCGCATGGTGGTGGAGGACGGCGGGGCCTCGGCAACTGCTGGCGAGACGCAGGTGGGCTTCGCCCCTCAGACCTACCAGATGCGCTCGATCGAGGTGCTGGACGTGACGTCGGCCGGCACATCGGTGCCATCGACGGTGCCATCGACGGTGCCTGCCAGCCAGAGTGAGAATGCGGGCTTGAAGGACTGGACAGACGTCGACACTCTGTTGGACCTGGTGCGCAAGAAACGAGCAATGCCTCACGCCTGTCTGTCTGTGAACGTATGCTGCATTGTGTCATGTGCGTCAGGTGCACGAGGACTTTTGGGAGGCAGGCGGCATCCTCGAGGCCACCAGCAATCGCAACAAGGGACCCACAGCAGCAGCGGCATCAGGCAGCGGTGGTGGCAGTGCACCATCCACGCACCACCTGTACCTTGTCGAGATCGTCTTGTATATCGGGCAGCGGCCGTACGCCATCACACGATCGACCCCAAAGAAGAGGTACCTGGTGCCGACCCAGTCGAGTGTGGTCGAGAGGAAGCATCTCGACTTTGCCGTCGACAAGCTGGGTGGCACAGACAACATCGGGTAAGCAGACACGAAGACAGCTGTTTTCATATAGTGCATGCTGTATCCGTGCAGGCCCGACAATCGTGCCATCCTTCCTGGCTCTCTGCATCGCATCAGCGCTGTACGGAACAAGTCTGAGGGGCGCACGGTGATCGGCCTGACCATGAGGGTGAGCAGGGAGAATTGGAAGAAAGTGAGAGCAGCCATTCATTCGTCGTGTGTCGGTCGGCATCCCTCCATCCGCAGGTTGGTCGTGCCATGAAGGGCAACACCGACATGATCCAGGATCTGCTCTTGTCGCCTGAGAGGGGTGTGGCAGCTGAAGATGGCCTCTCCGTCCTTTTCCTTGGTAGGAGAGGTCTCTCTGTGTGGGCGTCAGGGCCCTGTGTGTTTATTTACTGCATGTAGGTGCCCCTGGCTGCGGCAAGACGACCATCATCCGCGAGGCCTCCCGAGTGCTCACTACTGGGGATTTGCAAGTGTGCATCGTCGACACCAGGTAGCGACCCACCAACAGCTGGCCGCCCATCAGGTGTCATGCAATGACATCTTTTTCTGTCAGCAATGAGATCTGTGGCGGTGGCGATGAGCTGCATCCCTCGGTTGGCGAGGCCATCCGTCTGATGGTGCCGTGCATCCGCCAGCAGGACAGCGTGATGATTGAGGGGGTCCAGAACCACACAGTAAGTAAGGCGCAGATAGGACAGGCCGATAAGGGAAGAAAGCCATCACTGTTTAGCTCTTCATTGATGCTCACGCCGTAGCCGGAAGTCATCATTGTGAGTAAGTGGCACGGTGAGTAAGTGGCACGGTGGACAGCACCGGCTCTATCCGTTCCATAAATGACATGACACACTGCGTGTGACAATGGGCAGGTCGATGCCGCACGCACCATCGCCCAGCGGAAGGTCCGTCTTCTGGCAACGGCTCACGGCGACTTCGTGAGCCTCTCACGGAATTCGGAGCTTCGGGGGCTGCTGGGAGGCTTTGAGTGAGGCCACCATACAGACTCTTTTTGAGAAAGACGACGCTGCTCCTCCTCCTTTGTGTCGATTGTGTGTGTGTGTGTGTGTGTGCAGGACGGTGACGGTGGGCGATGCGCTGGCGTCGCGTTCGTCTGACGGCCGAAAATCCAAAACTGAGGTACCTACGCACGGAGAGAGAAGACCTGTTTGCCACAAGCTAGGGTGTGTGTGTTGATGCAGCGGAAAGGTATGCCCCCGTTCGACACGGTGGTGGAGCTGCAGGTGGGTCAGTTCGACGAGTGGCGCATCATACTGGACGTCGCCAAGGCCGTCGACGCCAGGCTGCAGGTATTGTACATGTGCACACATACATTCGCACACACACACAGTGGACTGACTGGGTGATGCCCGTCTCATGCAGGGCAAGAAGTACTTAGTGCAGGTGCGTCGCCGGTGCCCGTCGACCGGCCGCGTGTTTGTGAGGTGGGAGGAGACGGCCAGCGATGCAGGCGTCTTCGGAAGCCTGACGTGACCTCACTTAGAGCGATGCGTCCGTGTGCGCCTGCCTTTTTTGCGGGCGTGACCATGTGTGTGTACCATGTGTGTGTTTTGATCACACAGAGGCACCGCCAGCCAGCCACCAACTAGGTTTTGCCATCTCTCTCTCTTCCCAGCTCTGCACTGACTGTGTATGGGCGTATGTGTTGGCCGTGCGTGGTGAGTACTTGGACGGGACACGTTGACAGACAGACATGTTTATGATATGGATGGATGGATGTGTGCGTGAAGGTCGTTTGGTGGATGGCATCGTATATGATGTTGCGTGTCGCACGCCACTAATGCCGACTGAGACACCGAGCCAAATCGAACAAGCCAAATCGAACGAGCGTGTGATGTCGTCGTGACCTTGAGTCCTCAGTCCTATGTTGCCAGTCACACGCCCCATTAGCAATCTACCAGCTGGGTATGCACTTGTTTGCCTCTACCAGGAGGCTACAAGGAGGGTCACATCCACACCAGGAGACAAAGATAGTGAAGCTTTTATGGCGGCCTGAAGAGAACAGCGAATATATATCTGTGTGTCTGAAGCAGCGACACACAGACACTTTCTCAAAAGTCCACTGGTGAAACTCTCGAGATTCATGTGTGCTGACCTATGTCATGCGAGAATCATGCACGACGGCCGCCTCGAAGTGAGTGAGGCTTTTTACACTTTGTTGTCTATGTCTCGATACATACATGGATAGTACACGCACACACACATACACATACACATACTATACACGCCAAGTCAGCGGACATGAGCGCTACTTCATCAACCACAAACCTCTACTCTTGCCATCCACCTGTGCACTTGTCTACTCTATCGGCACGCACACACACACACACACACACAGACTGCGTGCGACACAGCACACGCGGACTACAAGTGTCTTTGGCTGCGACTCACCTGCATCTACCGGCTTGCGAAAAATGCGTCTAATACATGCCTCCCTACGAAGTGTGCCCGTGTGTACTATCTTATATTTCCCCCACGGAGCTGCCGACGGAGAGCCGCTGCAGCTCGCTAATATGAGATGCCCTCCGCCCTCTACGATTTGTCGCATTGTCGTCCTCCGAACTCAACTCACTCGACGAGCGACCGATGTCTTCTCCCGCATATGAGTCCTTCTTCTTGGCGCTCCTGATCTTGTCACTGACAATCAGGGATCCCCCTCGGACTGTCTTGTCCTGTTGGCGGTCCTGTTGCTGCGGGGGGATGTAAGGGAAATTGGCGACAGAGGGCATATGAATGAGCACGCCGTCGAAAAGGGGGGTGTATTTGGAGGCGATGAGGACGAAGGAGATCGACAAAATGTTCAATGTTGGGAAGAGAAGCAAACTGCATGCAATCAATAAAGGCGTGGACAACTGTATATGGGCTGCTGACTGACTGACCGGTAAGCGCTACCAAGAAGAGACGCCCACATCCACTGACCGATCAGCACATCCTGCTGGTTCTCCAACACAGGGCACTTCGCATAGATAGCGCCTTGTCGGTTTGCTCACCGAAATGAACAGGATATTCCACCCAACACACGCGACATTCCACAATCTCCAGAGCGTCCAGCCAATGAAATCCATCATCCTCCAAAAGTGGATCTGCATCTCTCTCTCTGCTGCAGACATCTCCTCCTGAAAGAACAGAGACACATGCACGACCAACCACACTCTTGTCTCTCTCCATTCTTCTCAATTTCTCTCACCCCAATCAAAAATCTTCTGAAGAGAGCATAAATGACGAAGCCGACAGCCGAGGCGATGACAAAGGACACCGCCGACACGGTCACTGTGGCAGCGGATGGCAGATGCGTCACTGAGGGAGGGTAACAGACGCGGGACAAGTAGAGGGCGCTCGAGTCGACGTACGGGTCAATCTGATGTCCGACAATATGGACGGTGGCGCAACTGGACCAAAAGAAGAGGGAAGAGATGGTGATCATGCCCATCAAAGAGGCTTCCAGCGCAGCGAAGCGTTGAGCACGCGCGGAGAAGGGGTTATATGTAAGCCTGCGACATCCAAGAGACAAATTGTGGCCACTTTTCTTGTCGTCTACTCACGAGGATAGCAGAGGATGGTCCCTCTTCACAACCCGAGCGAGAATCTTGCAATTTGTCCACCGCTGGTACCGTAAGCGGTCAGCATCGGCCCTGGCCTAACAGAAAAAACAGCACTGGTCTTACATCTCCTCCACTCCGTCTGTTTGTGCGTCATCACACCAGTGGGCTGCCGGTTTTGCCGACGTCAACCACAGAGGGGCGCCGATACGTTGAGGCCACAGGGGGCCGATGAGACTCGGTGCCCGTGTAGAAGCTCGTGATGGTCTCACGCCTCTGCCTCTGCCTCTGCAGCTCCTCATCCTGGCCAGTCTCTTGGCTTCCAGCAGTGGAGAGGCGTAGTGTAGAGGCCTTCACTTGTGTGATGATGCGGGTGAACGATTCGGCAGGCAAGGGGTCGGTGAACATCAGCTGGTGACGCAGACAAGGCGACAGACAAGGCGACACGAATGTGCATTCGGCACTCACAATCAGCTTCCGCTTACTCTCATGTTGCCGAGGGAGACGGCGGTCTCCTCCAGTATCGGCTCTGACATGTCCTCCAGAAGTAGCCGTGGGTCACTTGTGAATCGTCCGAGGCCACATTCAGCACCTGAGAAGAAGAACATGGTCTCTTCTTTCCTGAAGCGACCACTTGCGCTCACCAGTCCATCGTGGCCCCACCAGATGTGTGCGCATTGACCATTGACCATGCAGAAGCAAGCTGAATACATCACTGGGCCATCAAAAGCGAAGGCGCTTGCTGGTGTTCGCTCAACTTCTCCCCCATAGCTCTCTAACAGAATTTTCCTCGCCTCCTTCGCCGCACGGATGACTTGGGCCACCGCTGCTACGCCGCTGGGAACCAGTGTCACCACTGTCGAGTGTGCTTCCGTCATCTCATGGATGGAAGGCCGCGCCGCAGAGGACGCCGGTGGCTTCGGCTGCTCATCACTCGGGGATCGCAGTGGGACTAAGAGGCTGTCCTGCTTGGAAGGCTGTTGCTGCGCTGTCTCCGGCGTGCAGGTCTTTGATGTTTGTTCCTTGATGGCTTGGCTCATCAGCAGGTCTCTGTCGGTGTTGGTCGGCTGCAGGGACAGCAGCAGGGTGTGGTCTCGGTCGTACAGCGACACGGCGTGTTGATCCTGCTCGATGGTGTGAATGTCATCCAGCTCAATGGCTTTGAGCGGCTGCAAAACCGAACGAGCACAATGAATGGACGACAAGATGGAACGGCTACTGATTGATTGAGTACTAAATATGACTCACTCCATTTGTGTCAATCAAGTGACGCCACTGACCAAACACAGCATCGGAAAAAAGCCATAGTACACGCCTGTCGTGCATTCAACCGCTTTGCTCACCTTTCTGTCTGTAAAGTGGCTTGCAGGATGGCAGAACACCTCATATTCCGATGTCCATGTATGGAAGGGCTCCTGTGTCTGCTCTCTCAACACGAAGACACTCACTGCCGTTGGCGGAGGCACCGATATTTCGCTCTGCTGCTGAAATGGGGTATCTTCTATCTCTTCTTTCCTCGTCTCTCGCCTTAAATGCCGTCTTGGCTGCCGTTGGGTTTTTCTCTTCTTGTTGTCGGCCTTTTGCGTGTGCTCGATGTGGCTCTGCATGAGGAGAACATCAAGCTGCTCCAGGCGCTGCTCCTCCCTCCTTTGCTTGTTCGACAGCCTCTGGTGTCTCTTGGTCCCCACAGTGGCTCGAGACAGGCGCTTGGCCGTCTTGCTGTGCCTTTGCTGCTCAATCTCGTTCAGGAACGCCTGAGTGAAAGCGTCTGCTTTCTCATGTCCGCCTCTCCTTCGTGACTCTCGGATGACCACCAGAGCATGTTTGATCGCTGATGGATGGTCTCCTGCGTCCGAGTGCTTCTTTCGTGCGGCTCTTGTTGGGCAGAGAGCGTTGTACAGAAGGAAGAGCGGCAGCAACGGCAGGAGGACGAGTCGCGATGTTGTCAAGTAAACAGGGCTGATAGTGAAGCAACCCTGAAGGAGACGCGAAAAGTGTCATTTTGCTTGTGTTCTGTGCCTACTACTTCAGTGGACGTCCAAAGAATGTACTCACAAGGAATCTGATTTCGGGCATGAGGACACAAAGACCACTTGCGAAGCCTTCCCTCCTCTCCAGGGTGTCACGAAAAAAATATGGCAGGCGATCCTCAATCGGCAGCCAATCCTTGCGATCCTACATGGGCATACAAGACGACACATGTATGTGCACGTACGTATTCTTCGCCAGACACGTCCAAAAAAATTACTCACTCGCAGCGACAGCGCCATCACGGGGACGATGAGAAAGGCGCACGAAAGGGCGACGAACAAGAGGCCGATGTCGCCTGTGGACATAAGCGGTCGATGCATACAAGTAACAGGTGTACATACATTCTTGGCCCAGCATACGTACCCGCCTTCAGCATAGTCAGCAGAACTTCCGGGTCGAAGATCAGAAGTGGGTTGCCAGCCTTTTGCTCGTGGGCGGGATACAATGCAGCCGCGAAGGTCGAAAGATGATTACACGTACACTGGCAGAACCAGGACGCAAAGATGTTCGCACTCATTTGTCGATGCACGTGCAAAACGGACCTGAATTGATTCATTGTTCGCCGACGCGTCGCAATGAGCATCGATGTACTGCTCGGCTTGTTCATCCCACTGCATGCAGAATGGTTGTCCCCTCCTAACTTGAGCAGTCGCGTTTCCGCAAGGAAATGTCAACACCACCGAGGCGTTGCCTAAGTCGTGTAGTTTGGTCTTGTCTCTCCACAAGTCGACAGTGATGGCTGTGTCGAGAATCAAGGCGTCTGCGGGGGTGTGTTTCGCCGAATACGGGTTTGTGGGGAGCTCCATTATTATGGCCTGGGTAGCATAAGTCAAGCTTTGAGGAGACAGGAAGACGCGTCTCTACAGACAAAAACCCATATCGCAGAGACATTGTGTGGATGTGTTTCAGTCTGTGCCTTACTCATTCCATGCCTCACCCTCTTGATGCCGTTCGTCTTGTTGTCGTCTTTCAAAACCATGCATTTGATCGAAAAGTTGCCGTCTGCATGCTCGTATTCTAATGAGTAATCCCTAGACACACACACACACGCGTTCCAGTGTGAACGTGTGTCGTACCCCTTACCTGGCGAGTGTACTGATGTCTTCGTACACCGTGTTCTGCAGCGGATCCGAAATACACCGTATAGAGGAATGATTGACAGGCCACATTCTTCCTTTACCATGAGGGACAATGCGTTAGTGGCATCAGTTCCATTGCCATTTCTGGCATCAGTAGCATTGTTAAAGACGTTTTCCACCACGGCTTTCACCACACGAGCCGAAATTTTCAGCTGAAGCTTGGCGCTGGTGTGGTCAGTCGGCAAAACTACAGTTGTCAGCTTGCCAAGGAAGTCCATCAGCTCATCCTGTTCAAAGTCGCTGTTGGCAGCCTTATCGGCGAGGTCCTCCAACGCTTGGACGACAACAATTTGATCCTCTGGGCTGCTGTGGGGATTGGCCGAATCAAGAAGCTCGTCCAGGTCTTTCTCAAGCTCTTGGCCGCTTTCCTCTTCCGTCTTGTTTTCTCTCATAGTATTATTGGCACTCAAGTCCAAAGAGACTATTACTGTGGTGTTCGGACAGATCGGCTGTGCCTCGGTCGCCGCACAACGTCCCAATATCGCCGGAACGTCGTCATGTGTAGCGCACGAGAGATAGCACGTGCTGTTCAGCGCATCGATGACCATTGCCAGAATCAAATACTCCCCGTCTTCGAGAAACACCCGCAAAGATGGCTCGCGGCGCCTGTAGGACAGCAGCTTGATTGGCTTTGTCCTCTTTGGGTCTGTCACGAAAACGCTGTAGGTCTCTCTGCCGATTGACCTTGCGCAAGGGTCAATCTCCCAGCCATGTTGCTCGATCTGGACTTCCCCGTCGCGCATAAAAGCCCGCACCTCTCCAGCTACCGGGGATAGAGTTGCTCGTATGTTAGTGGTCCAGTCATTAGTCTGCACATGATAGACCCAGCCGGGCTGCAGCTGCCCCGCAGGGATGGTTCCATTAGGAAAAGAGATCTGCTCTGTGAAGACCTGCACTGCTTGTTGACGCTTGTAGGATACGAGAGGGGTCAGAGTGATGTTAGAGTCCCTATTGAGACGCACCGTCGCATGAGACGATACCGGCAGCTCGATGGAGCGGTCGATCTTGCGAAAGGATAGTTGTGAGCCGTCCGTAATTGTGACTGCGCCACCAATAACGCTCCCTCTGCTCAGCTCTTGAAAAGCTTCCACCGCAATGGCGTAGATGCCCTCTTTTGTACCATTAAGCCTGTAAGTATCCCGTCTCTCAGTGAAGGAGGCAACATGAGTTGCAACGGTGGCAAGAGGTGCACTTGCTTCAATCAACGAGTTGCTCAAGCAATCGTACAGCGGCACATCGGCAACCAGCGCGCGACGCAGAAGCTGAGGGGCCGATAGATAAGGCATCGTGCGAGTTGCCGATACTGCAAAGACCTCGACGTCCGAGTCAGTGATGAGGGGCATCCACACACAGTACCAATCTATGTAGATTGGTCGCACCGCGTCCTGCGGCTCGATGTCCAGAACAAGCATGAGATCGTGCGACAATGACAGCGAGAGGGCCGGTGCGTCGTACTTATCGATCTTGACAAAGAATGATGACTGTCTGTTGCAAGTTGGTGACGAGACATTCGCAGTGACGTTGAACACGCGCCCAATGTCTTGGTCTGTAATGTTTCTCAGCAGGGTAGATCCATTGCGGCCATCTGGCAGCCACATAACTGATCCGCCTTGTGGAGTCCCCACATCTAAGCGTATCTGTCGCATACGAGATGCACAGAGACATCAATGTATGCGCTCCGGAAACCCCTTGTACCTGCTCTGTTGGTTTGAACGTATGCATTCTGTGATCGACTGCGGCAGCCGGCTCCTCGCAGCACGTGCCATTGAGCAAGGTGATTTGCACACGCTTTATTGTGGATACACCTATATAATTCTTAGCCTCCACAGATAAGAGCAGTGGCTCCATGCTAATCCGATAGACTTCAGCCAGCAATGAGCGGCTGATCACGAGAGTTGTAGCTGACACGTTCAACCCTGCAACACAAGATCGGCGAGTCGTTGTTTCGTCTGTTGCCTTTTCTGAGCTGTCTCACTACCTGAGGCGTCAGTCAGTATGTCGGTGAGCGATTCACACGCCCCTTTCGGCTCTTCGCAGTCAAAGTGATAGTCAATCTGCCGACCACCACCACCGCTCACATACACGTCAACGTGCAAACTTCCCCTCCCGCAGAGTGCAAATGATTGTGGCGCGATGACTCGGATGGATGGGAGGATGCTGTCCGCCGTTGGCCCCACAGAATGCTTGATTTCGTCAGTCCTATTGAGCCCGCTCTTGAGCCACTCCTTGGCAATCCCCGCTTGACGTCCCGCAATGACCAGGATACACCTTCTGTCAGCTGTTGCCCACATGCAACGAGCGCCCTCACCAGAAACGTCCATGTTTGCAATAGCTGAGCAGGGATCGCTGACGTTGGCCGAGAGAGGCGCCTCGAAACAGACGTGAGACACGGCGGGGGAAAATGACGTCTCAGCCACCGTAAGGCGAGGCACAGGATAATGCGTGGTATGAGTGTCGTTTCTGCAGTGGCCGGAGCAGCCGTCTTGAGACCACAAGTTGCCGTCATCGCATTGCTCGTCTTCATCGATGACCCCGTTCCCGCATTTGGCACTCTGCGACAGTCAGCGAGGGTATGACAATGAAGTGGGACAAAGGGACGCCTTCATCTCTCGATGTCCTTACGCTGGCTGGATACACCTGGATCAGAGAGGTCGTCGCCGGCTCGATGGCGAAGTCACTTGGATCTGTACACGTCCCGCTGCCCACCCCACGACACAGGCACGCCTTGAAGCTTCCCGCATGTGGCAATGTCACATTCTCCCACACCAGCTGCTCGCTTGTAGATCCTTGGGGCACCGAGCAATTGACCGCCGGTAGAAAGGAGCCACACACCGTGCTTGCATCGCCGGCAATGAGGATCAATTTGTGCTTGTCTGCGTCCAAGAGGTTTTCCCTCACGAATAGCGTCATGCTTTCGCCTGCCGGAAGGGGCTCTGTCGAAGCAAGATACTCGACAGCGCTGACAATGCTATTATCTGACACAAAAACGACAAACGACAAATGAGACAAACACCGGTAGAAAGGAGCCACACACCGTGCTTGCATCGCCGGCAATGAGGATCAATTTGTGCTTGTCTGCGTCCAAGAGGTTTTCCCTCACGAATAGCGTCATGCTTTCGCCTGCCGGAAGGGGCTCTGTCGAAGCAAGATACTCGACAGCGCTGACAATGCTATTATCTGACACAAAAACGACAAACGACAAATGAGACAAACACAGGAAAAAGTGCTCCTGCGCTGGCTCATCCATGCTCATTATCCGCTCGTCGACCATATCTTCGCCATCGATAGTCAGTGACGCCTTATCGCACTTGCACAGACAGAGCTCGGGGGGAGTCGTGCTGATCACCGCTGTGCAGACGAGCGCGTCATCGCAGGCAAGCGAGAATCCCTTCGGTCGGGCAGACTGGCCGCCGCACGTTGTAAGACGTAGTCGGTCCCTTCGTATATCGAAGTCCTCAGCGACGGTGATCACTTGTACCTTTGCATTGCTCAGGGCCTTCGACGTGAAGGCAGGGGAGGACATGGAGCTCAAGCCGCAGAGACACACCAATGACAATTGTAATGAGCGACACACCACTTCGCCATCTGACTCCGGTCCGGAAGTGGTGCTGAGTAGAGGGAAAAGGGTGGTTGCATAGGATGTCGCCTCGAAAGACGGGTGAGCGCCAGCAGCTTCTGGGACAACCGTAGTTGAGGCCTCAGTAGAAGTGGGTATAGTTCTTGTTCTCCAGGGGGTCTCCGTGCTGGGAAAAGTTGTCGTGCTGAACGAGCGAGACATGTAAGAAAATAGGCATTTCCGAGCACCTCACCTTATTATACTGACTTCAGACGCGACAGTGGAGAGAATGGGAGGCGTGAGTGTTGTGACCTACGTGAGACACAAACAGACGTGCAAAGCATGTATTTGGGCTACTCTCTCTCACTAGCATAGTGTACCACTGGTGCGGCTGTCGTGGAAAAAACGGTGCGGACGAGGGATTCGGTGTATGCATTCGTTTGTTGTGGCTCACTGTAGTTGATCTGGATTGAAGCTGGCGAGTTGCCCCTGTGTGGGGCAACGGCATCGGCCACATGCCCGCTGCCGATCGTCACATTCACTTTGCCCTCGACTGTGGGACTCAGGTTCAGTGTTACTTGTGCTGTTCCGCACACACACAGAGGTCCATCAAGACGCGTGCCATTTACATAAGACTTAGACTTTGGCTTACATGGCTGGACGACCACATTGGAGTGCACAACTGCCGCCGTTGCCTGCTGTGCGGGATACAGCGCCTCGATGGACAGTGTGAGGTCTTCACTGATGTTGAAAGTAGTGACGTCGATGGGCACTTCAAAAGTGACATTCAGCTGCATGGGCAGCGAATCCCACGTTGATAGGGGAGAGGAGAGGGTGACCATAGAGGGCGCCGCCGCAGAGTCTGGAAGGGATGCACAGCAGGTGTACACACAGAGGGACTGGGTCTACGTGTACCGTAAGCCATTGTCAAGTTGGTGTTGGGATTTGGGTTTCCATACGCGTCCTGCGTAGTAATGATGTGCAAAAACATCCATATTTGTAAGTGCACAGATGGTTGTGGATGTCCACTGTACCTTCACAATGCCCTGCATGACGGTCAGCTGCAGGTGGGTCATCCTCTCGCCGCCATTCGGCGGGTCGGGCATTATCTCCGCCTCATAGAGTGTGTTGTCGCCTTCCACCGGCCTGCACACGTGAGCACTGGTCACACTGATGTGGGGATGCATGCGTGTACCTCATGTCAATGAGATTGCCGTTGGTCACGAAAGACTGCTGGTCGTCCGTCGCGAAGCCAGCTGACACAGGCTCCCCAAAATCGATTGTTAGAAGGATCGGCGTGTCCCAATAGACGGGGAGGGGGTTCACGATCGATGGGACGGGGAGTCCCGACTTGTAGTAGCATTGACGGGTGGTGTCTCCATCAGCCGAGTTGATGAGCGAATAGTAAAGGCGACACTCCGGCTCTTACCAACGTCTGGTATGTTCGATAGCAGTACAACGCTTGTACACACATCTCTCATCTATTGCATCACCGTGTGTGTGTCCATCAGCAAAGGTACCTGTCTTTAATGCACTCAACTGAGCATGACTCCCGCCTCTGCCAGTCAAAAGTAGCGTCAGTCCAGGAGCTTACATTTGCAAGAGCGTAAGGCTCTTCCTGGCCATTGTGGCGACACGTGCCATTAAGCTTGTTCGCTGCATATTCGCATCTGTAAGCGTCTTCAATCACGGATTTTCCTGTAAGACATACCGCCAGTCTGTGCGGTGCCGTCCTTTCTCCTCTGGATGCACATTGCGTTGGGCGAGGTGACGTTGTCTGGCTTGGCCACGCTATGGTGAATCTCACATGTCCTCTCGCTATCTGTCTGCACACAGGCACACACACATGTACGCTTCTCGATAACTGCCACAGGTGCGCCTCACCGAGAGCTGAAATCCTGAGCACACGACGCTCGACAGACAAAGGACAGCACATTCATGCTTTCTCGCTGTGTCATCCTCAGGGATGGTCGAATTCAGCGTGTAGCCATGAAGGAATGAACTGTTCGTGTACCTGCACAGAGGCCGGAGACCATGCATGTCTCTATCGATCGGTCTGTGAGCCTGTGAGTCTTACAAGAACACCCTTGCTGGTTGTGGTGACCCATCTTCTCTTGTTGCGTTGTTGATGCACTCAGTGTCTGGGTTGTCCTCTGCAGACACATGCGGTCATACACAGTAGTCAGACATGGTAGTGAGGGCTTTCTTACTGAATTCATCCTCCCACTTCGAGCCTGTGGCGTTGCCTGCAGTGCAAACATGACCAAACGATGCAGCGTCACCACATGCTACATAGACCTTGCGTCCCGTGTGGACTGCTGACATGGCGTCCACAGCAAGAGAATGAGAACCGCAAGAACGGACGGCATCTTTTAGGAGACCTCGACTGCGGTCAAGAGGGCCAACTTGAAGTGTGTTGAGGTTGAGATGGCTCGTCGTGACCGCTTCTCATGGTGGGGAGAGTGTGGGCCTCAAACAGGGATAATCTCGCACGACGAGTGCCCCCCACCTTTTTTTCCCCCCTCTCCGCCTCACAAGGACACACCCACCGCATAGACCACATAGAGAGTGGGCCAACCACGCAAGTTCATGTACATGTAGGAATGCGCCCCTTCCCTTTTTACGTCGACAATGAGTTCGATCCCATGGTGAATCGCTCCCCGACCTCCTCCTTCTCCTTGGGCCTTTCTCCTTTCCCCTTCTCCCCTCTCCTTGCACCTCAGAAGCCACCTCCTCACAAACGGTGGGCCAACACACACAAGGGGGGCCCGCACATCTGCCATTTTATCGTGTTTGCTCAAACAGCCTTCCCGCCGAGGCCGGCTGCCCTTCTCTCTTCAGCTCATCTCTCCAGCAAGCACACAGAATGAGCCCCGTGAGCTTTGCCGACAAAGAAAGGGCGCTGGGTCGTCTGTGTGTATTGGCTTCGTGCCTTTTGTTTGTTGTCAGCCGCCGCCCGAAGGCGAGAAGGAGGTAGAGTCGATTCCTGGCGCCGACGTGCCCATCGAGGTCACCAAGGCAAGCAGATAACGAACGCCCACACGCGCTGCCAGGGCCATTTTCACTTGTGTCTCTTAATTGTGTCCGCTTGTCGGTTTGTCTGTCAGGATTTCGACATTTTGGGTCAGGTGTCGTCCAAGGAGCTGCTGCACTGGGTGGAGAACGGCAAGTACAGATCCGTCATCAACCTGTGCGGGTCAGTGTCGGCCGGAGGGACATACGGATGGCTCCTTTCCTGCTCGCTGTTGTGCTGGTATGTGTGCATCGGTGTGTGTTGCGTCTATCTGCAGGCCCGAGGAGGAGTGTTCGCTGCCGTGCTCCTTCCCGGCCAAATGCAAGGTTCCCTGCGTCCGAGCCCAGGGTGAGGACGTGGCATCGTCGATAGGAGTTCGACGCATTATCGCGTGTGTGTGATGCCTGGCTGCAGTGGATCATCAGAAGCTGTCATTTGTACGCCGAGCCGCCCCACCGGGACACCACTGACACAGACAGACAGACAGACAGCGCGTCCCCTCACCCTGTCGTGTGTGCAGGGTTTGGCTATGCGTCTGCTGGCGACGCTGGAGAGCGCCCCTCTGCCAGCCCTCATCCAGTGCCACTCCAACTACCGCGCCAGTGCCGTTGCCATGCTCTACATCGCCACTCACCCTCCTGCTGACAGCGACATCTCCGGCCCCGGGAGCTTGAAGGGCTGGATGTCCATGGACGACGCCATGAAGTGGGCCAAGGAGCACAAGCTGCCCTTCCTGGAGCCTGACAAGGAGCACCTCGTGCAGTGGGTCAAGGTCAGTCTGCTGATTATGGGTGGAAAGAAAAGTGGTCATGTATGGGGACTGTGTGTGCGTGTGTGTGTGTGTGTGTGTGTTTGTCAGAACTTCCTGGCTGCCCGCTCGGTGGATCTGAAGCGCGAGGGTGACCTGTTTTTCCGTCAGGAAAGTAGCACCATCAAGGGGTCTGTCTGTGTGGGCGAGAGAGAATGGACGCGCGCCTTTCCTTCTTCCTTCGTGTGCAGTTGTTTGACCGCGAGTCGTGCACGTACAGCTACGTGCTGGCCGACCCCACGACGCGCGAGGCCATCATCATCGATCCCGTGCTGGAGATGCTCGACAGAGATCTGGAGCTCCTCAACGAGCACGGACTGATACTCAAATACGCCCTCAACACACACGTGGTGAGTAGGCCCGTACGTTGGTGTGTATGGCAGACAGACAGACAGACCGAACAACACATAGACTCTCATTCATGGGATGGATGTGCTGTGTTCCTGCCTTCCTTCTCTCCCCTTTCGTTTGTCCTTTTGCTTGTTTGTCGTCAGCACGCCGACCATGTGACGAGCACCGGCAAGATGAAGACCCGCCTGGATGGCTTCAAGAGTGTGCTCTCCGGCACCTACAAGACCGCCATTTCCGACGTCAAAGTGCAGCACGGCGACTCCCTCTACTTCGGGGATCGGTTCGTGGAGTGCCGCGCCACCCCTGGACACACCGACGGGTGCCTGACATACGTCCTCGACGACCACTCCATGGCCTTCACGGGCGACGCTCTGCTCATCCGGGGCTGCGGCAGAACTGACTTCCAGGTGTGCAAGTGTCGGTGAGTGTGAGGTGTGGATGCCATCCATGTCTGTGGGTGTCCGCAGAGTGGCGACGCTGCCCTGCTGTACAAGAGCGTGTGGGAGCAGATCTTCTCTCTCCCACAATGCTGCAAGTTGTACCCGGGACACGACTACAAGGTCAGACAGACAGACAGACAGACAGTCTCTGAACGCCATCTGCTCGATTGCCAAAAGAGTGTGTGTGTGTGTGTGATGGTGTGCCTTCCTTACAGGGCCGTCAGGTGAGCAGTGTGTGGGAGGAGATCCGGTTCAACACGCGGCTGACCAAGACCAAGGACGAGTTCATCCACCTCATGAACACCCTCGGCCTGCCCAAACCAGCCAAGATCGACATTGTGAGGGAGGGAGGATGGCCCGGCCCGCAACGAAGAAAGACAACACATCTCACCAAGCACTCATGTGGGCGTGACCGTTGTGAATGTGCTTTGTGTCTGATGTCTGCAGGCCGTCCCCGCCAACCTCAAGTGCGGCATACAGGACGAGTGAGCGAAACCTTTTTGTGTGGCTGGCTGCTTCCCACAAGGAAGGGGGCGCCGACACAGACAGACAGACAGACAGATGCCGCAGCCAGCCGTAGAGAGTTTTTCCGTCGAGCATACACACGCACACTCACGGACTCCGCCCGCATTTGATCTTTCCTGTGAGGGTGTTTATTTTTTGTATGTGTTGCCAAATGGTGGGGTGGCTGCTGATTGAGTGAGTGGTCTGCAAATGAAGCAAGCGGTCGGTGACGGTATAACATTTGGTGAAACGAAAGGGGACATGCTGTGCTGTGTGTGCCGGGTGGGCCGCGCAGTGGTACTGGAAATTCAATGTAGATTGAGAGGCTTGTGGCTGAATGTCGGCGCCTGCATGGATGATCACCGCTCGCGAGCACGTGAGGCGCCACTAACGCCAGCGAGATGCATGTTAACAGTGTTAAGCATGCACTGCATGTGTCCATCTTTGCGGAGTCGCCATTTCGTCATGTCCACTCGTCGACGTTTGAAAGCGATAGATACTTGGTGGCCAGACATGTATACGTATGCACACATAGCTCCCCCTTCGCAGCTTAGCTTTCTTTGGTTGCAACAAGCTATCCACACAAACACACGCATTGCATTGCAAGGCACGCCGGAGCAAAGCATCCAAAACAGCAAGCCACAAAACTCATCGATGGCACATCTCTCTGCCCGTCTGTCTGTCTGCCTGCCTGCCTGTCCATCTACCCTCCGCCCCTCCCCCGGCCACGCCCATAGCCCCTCCCACGGCCGCCACCTCCACCGAATGACCCCCTCCCGCCACCGAAAGACGACCCGCCTCCCCTGCCTCTCTTTGCAGCCGGCCCACCATCCCTCTGGCCATCATAAGTGCGTCGCTTCATCCCGCCCCGATAGCCACTATGGCGCCCCGATGAGGCGTCCGACGCGTTGTCCCCGCCATTGTTCCCATCACGCAGGGCTGCCGGCTGGTCGTCGTCGAGGTCGGGTAGCTGGCTGGCGGAGGTGACGGGCTCGAGGGTCATGCTGCTGGTGAAGCGGGAGGGGATCTGCTTGTAGGCCTCCTCGAAGGCGGGGCACACGTCGTCGGCCACGTCGAAGGCTGCACCGGAGGCATCGGCCAGCTTGATGACTGCGCTTATCTGCAGATAGATGAGATGATGAAGGCAGGAGGGTGGGGGAGAATACTGGGCAATGCAATGCAATGCGATGCGACGCTCCCGTGCGCACCTTTGCTGTGACGTCTTCGCCGAAGTTGCGGTTCAGGAACCCCCAGATGTAGCCCTTGGTGCGGATCTGGGTGGCCTGCACACACACACACACACACACAACCGCACGAAACGCGTCACACATGCTCAGACACCCCC